GGGGGGGGCAAAAGTGAAAAAGGAAAATGGAAAACACCTCCAGAAGAATAAAACGAATTAAGTTGGTAGTTTGAGATCATACCCCTGTCGCCCAGTGAAAATAACTCGGTAGACGCGTTTGTGTGTGACACGCTCCGACATTCTGTCGGGAAGCCCCGAGTACATCCATCATTCGTGCAACAAGGCGCCCGACCGAGTGTGTGTATTAAAACAGGCCAACGCCTACTCGTATCAATTATTCACCTTCCCCCACGGTATGACATACATTTTTGATTTATTCTCTTTCGAACCGGGGTAGAATTGCCAACGAAACACCTTCTGAAATGTGCAAAAATCGGGAGTTTACTTACTGTGTTCGCAGGGTAAATGCAGCGGATGTGATGCTAGACGGCAGGTGGAGTCCCTTGATGATTTCCTGCCAGAGTTTCTTGTTGATTACGTCGACGAGACCGCCCCGAGCAATTACCAAATTGTAGAGTTCGTAGAGGTCCAATACGGATTTTGCCATGATTGGTAGTCGATTGATTGGTGTACCTGAAATTCAGAGGAAAGAGGGGAATTTAGTTGTCACCGTAAAAATAGATTGGGAAATAACTCTATCAGTAGACTGTCAGAAAATTACTCGAGAAATTTTACGAAAGTCATTTTGACATTTTTAACAACGACTAATTGTGAGAAGGGCCATTTTTCGTGGTATTGGAGTTATGTATATTCCGGTAATGTTGGTCGGATTTCTCAGACTTTGAGTGCAAAATTGTTCCGATAGTATGAAAGATAACGTCGGCATAAAAGATCAAGAAATCAAGCTAACATTTGCTTGAATGGGAGGGGTGAAGAGAACAATGTAAAAAACGCGGTAAATAGATGCGACAAAGTGCGCCTTTTTCATGTTAACGTACACCATTTATGATTCGAATTGTCGGGTTCATTCAACAATGCCAATTATTGGAAGTTGTGAAATTTCAGGCACACGGAGAGAAATTTTTTAGAAAAATTCTAGTGCTAGCACGGGAAAAGAGGCGCAAAGTGACGGCCAGGTAAAAATTCCAGTGCCGGTACAAGAAATTTTATTGGGGAAAACGTGAATTTTTCCCCGTATTTCTGTGAAAATTTCACAGAAATCCTTAGAAATTTTACCAGAAATACCAAGAAATTTTACCTTAACAGCACCAGAATTTTTCACAACCGGTGGATTGTAATTTTTTCCAGTACTCGTACTAGAATTTTTCTAGAAAATTTCTCTCCGTGCAACGATTGTTTTGACTCAATCCATTGAAAATCCGCAAATATTACTCGAATTAAATAAAATTGTATCAGTGTAATTTCTGAAATATTCAATGGAATTTCCGTGCTCCGGCGCAGCCGGAGGGGACTCAAATTAACGAGATTGAAAACCAACATATATTGTGAATTTCAAAATAATTTTAATGCTGTAGTTTTGAAAAATAAAAAAACTCAGGAAAATCTCGTCACAAATTTGATCAACTCGGTCAGACATCCGGCGAAAACAGCGTAAATAGTGTCATTCGATCCAAGTGCGGAAATGGTATAGGGGAGGTTGGGGTAAAACGGACACTTTTGACTTTTTTTAAACTGTTAATGAAGGGTTGAAATTTTGATAAAATTTTATAATTTTTTTTTTCAATATAAAGAACAATTCTTTCCCTTTGCGGCGAGCCTAAACTGAGCTCAATTGATAAATTTGTTTCTGAGTTATGAATAATTCTAACAAAGTCTAAAGTGTCCATTTTACCCCACCCTCCCCTATATTGATACGAGTGTGCAAACGTGTTTTTTACCCGTACTACCCTCCCAAGGGTCAAAGAACACTTCCCACGAGTTTCAAACCCTATTTGTCATCACGATGTGCACTAATAGAAAGGATTGGTTATTGTTAGCGAATGGATTTGGTTGAAGACGACGGTCTATTCGGTCTCACCAAATGTTCATTCGTTAATAGTTAACAAACGCCGATTTGAGGAGCCTTGTTTGACTCGATTTTCACTTTTCAAGTCAACTATTCGTTAAATATTCAACTCTACCGTTCGATAATAGTTAACGAATCTCGTTTGGAATAAATGAATCAGTGTGTGGCGAAAGTGGGATTTTGCGTAAAGTTTGACCTGACGCACAAGTGACAAAAAGTGATTTTAGACGTATAAAGTAGCGTAGCGCTCGCCGAAGGCGAGTGCTCCCCTCCCAAGGGTCAAAGAACACATTTCCCACAAATGTTGAACGCTATTTTTCACCCCAATGCGTGTGAAGTGGAGTTCAGCGTGCGTAAAATGTCACTTTCCCCATATCGTCATGCGGACTGTAATTATTATTCCCACAAATGAATAACTTCAATTATCCGCAGATAACTTGGCTACTCATCTCCGCAACTGAACAAAAACACGAGAGATTACAATGATATTAATAAAATAGAGAATTGCCGCATCCCTCGAAAGAAATGTTAATCGAATGGAACTTTTATTTCACAACAGAGAAAAACTTTACGACTCCTCCACCCAACAGTCTATATTCCTGCGCCCATATAGACCCCCAGCGTTAACAAGAGTAATAACAAATTCGCGACTATCACGCGATGGGCGACGTAGTTTTACGAGTTTACAAACGATTTTGTGTACGTCGGTAACAGGAGTTTGTACCTATTGGTAAGAAATGCGAGAATATACAAACAGGCCATGGTATATGCAAAAGGATCACGAGGATCGTTTATCCGTCATGGAGGACGCAAGGGAGCCCTGCATCGAGACAACCCGCCATATTTACCTCGTAGCGAATATACAGCGCGGGGTAATAACGCGAAACACTGTTGGCGGGGTAGAGGTGCACTCGGGGTAGGGGAACCAGCAATTTCGGGCTATCGAGGAGGCCTTCGCCCCTCTGGCTTTATTATTGGCCCTGCAATTATTGTTGATATACGCGTCCCGGCAACCAGTTTAATGTCCCTATAGTGAACGCAACAATAAAGAGACCCCTCTCTGCCCTTCTTCATTCCCCTCTGCATTTATATTACCATCTTTCTCCCTCTTCAAGTCCATCCACGGGGTTAAAATGGCGGACAGACACGAAGAGACGCGATATGGCGGACCTTGGAAACATTACGCGGAAAATTTTTAAATGCAGATCGTTCAATTCAAGCGTGAAATATTATTCCACTGTATTCTCCTGCACACTGTATTTTCAATGTGAATATTTGAATGAAAATTTACAGAAAAACTTGTCTGATAGGCACTAGAATTTTATAAACTTGGCACATTAAAATTGTCCGTTATTGATTATAATAGATAGAGGTGGGGAATTTATTCTTATTTACTCTGTGCATTTTGTTTTATGAATTTTAGTCTGCAAGACAATCTCGCGCAATAGCCATATCCAAGTATTCCCCCCCCCCTCCGCCCCCCATCCCAGTACACGAAGGCTTTTATGGCAAATACTCGCGAAACGTGATTCGAATGCCAAGAGGGATACATCCACACAGAGTTCGCGGCGTATGGCCAAGAGAGAATTTTACGAAGTGCTGACTTTGGTGTTGCGGATGGAACGACGGGAAATAAAACACATACACTTTCTTCGCACTTAGTGTTACGCTTGGTGTATGCGAGGAGAATATAACGTTTGAGTTTCCAAGACTATCTTTGTTCATTTTTATTATTTTCTCATTTCAATCCTTTTACCCAATGGGGCTTGAAGAAGTTGGAAGGTGGAATGGGAATTGTCGATGAGAGAAGTGAGGTGGAGACAGAGGTGGATGAAGAGAGAAATGAAAATCCATGAAAAAGAAGGATGAGACAAGGTGGCGGTGAGGGGTGGGAGGGAGGATTTCTCTCATTGTTTGTCAGAGTGAAGAGACGTTTGAAGTGAGATAAAAGAAGCATTCAGGATGGCGATTACGACTTTTCTTGGTAGGGCGTCCAATCAGCAGTTATTTTTATAATGGCCGCCGCGTCCTGCTGCGGGTACCGAGAGAGATGCTCACGGTGGCCATTGCACATTGAACCTCTTGGGTTTTTGAGGTGATACACCACGGCCCCATCCGCAGAACAAGACCAGCAGGTCACAGAAATGAAGAGAGATGAATGAAAGAATTCAAGTGATTTTTTTTTTGGGGGGGGGGGGGGGAACGCGAATAATTGTTATTGCTAACGGGGACAATCGTAAAGTTGACAATTTGCAGGTGGCCATTGTAGAATTACTCGTCATCATGTCGAATTGATACAAACGTTTTGGCGCACATGAGCCAGAGGGAGAGAGATGATGGGGCATTGGCTATACGCGCCCATCCGGCTGGCATGGGCGAGGCAAGGTGGCCGAGTGGTAATTGGTATACGAAACAAAATGTTGCATTTTATGGGTTATTGTGATGGCCGTGGTGTGCACGAGACAGATAGAGGGGGAGTGTCCAATCTAATAACGATCGGCTCTCGAAAAGAGACCCGGAGGCCTTTATTAACCCGAAACTATATACACACATTCGAAGACCAAGTCTGTGCCTTCGTATATACACCGGGTGTATAATACGAGGCATTTGGGGCGCGCGAAACGACTTTTCCAAGAATCACTCGCGTGACGACCCTAAAATCTATCGAATAAACTGGTGAATATTGGCCCCCGAGCTTTGGGATTTATCGACTGTGCAATCCGACATTACGGACGATTATGGGACCCATTTACAGTGCGCGCGCAGCGAAGTGACCGCAGCGAGACAGCCATTGTTTCCCGAAAATTCGAATGCGTTTGGGGGGAGGGGGCTCGAGTATCAATCATTCTTGGCGAAATGAAGGAGCCCAGAGGTTCGAATTTCATTCACGCTAAGGAGTGGAATATTCACCCTCCCACCCACCCAGACGAATCGGTGAATTCCACACGCTTCTCTCTTTTGTGAAACGATGATTTGCTGTTCATTTTATTTCCCTTCAACTGGGGTTAACTTTGTTAGCCCGGGACGGGAGAAGGAGCGGCATTATCAACCGAGCTGAAAGAGGCGAAATTGGCATTGCGGCGGTTTGTTGTTACCTACATGTGTCTGCGAGAGTGTGAGAAAGAGATGATGGCTTGTTTTTTGTAAAGAGAAAAGATAGAGAGAAAAATAATACGAGACGGAGGGAACAAGAGGGGGTGGAGTCCTGGGTATGAAATACACGTGACATTTACTGCTTTACCGGCTGGCCTCAACCAAGATTCAAACGTATTATAAATAGATCTACCCTCTTGATGCTATTCAAAAGGGGATTGAAGAAGAGACAGCAGTACGAGGCTGAATGCAAGTGGTATGGAGGGACGGGTGGTAATGCAGACTGTTACAATCTCGTTTTATAATCTTGTTAGGATTTCGCGGAAATATTGGTGTAATTTATGTGACACTTTGAGACAGGCCAAAGTAGTATTCAACGCTGAGCGTTTATTTTTCTCTCTTCATTTTCTTTTGTCTTGACGATCCATCGTGACTTAACAATGGAAATAACAATGCCGCTAGATGAATAGAAGGATGAGACGAGATAATCGTGATTTGTCTAGTGGTGGCGCCA